CTAAGGTCGGACGGTTTAACCACGATTAATCGACTTTTTCAATTCAATATTGAGGATTGCCCTAACTCAACCTAGTTTAGGTGGCTTGAAAAGCGGAAGGAAAACCAACTCGATTGAGTCTCCCTTAAAAAGGGGGATTTTCCTCTCTAAACTAGGCTAAGTTGGCAAATTAGATTACTAGCACCTAAATGCACAAACTTAGGGGTGCTAAGCACAATTATGCACAATCCCTTGTAGGATGCTAAGCACAAAATATGCACAACCCTTAAGTTGCTAAGCACAAGCATGCAAAATCATGGTGAAAACTACTTCAAACATTAAATTGAACAATACCCAATATCAATCATCCAAACCACATACAAGAAAACTACATGGTAGGGTTTAGGGTTTCACTACACCCAAGTGAAAGGAGGACTACTCCATGGAAGAAGTGGGAAGAACAAAGGGGAAAAAGGTGGAAACCATCTTTTGGGGATGCCTCCTCTCTTCTTGACCCTTGAGCTAGGATTTCCTTGAGGAAATCTTTCCAAAACCTCCTTTGAAGCCAAGCCCTAACTCTTCTTCTCTTTGGTTCTGTTTCTCTCACTAAAATGCAGAAAATGGTGTTTCTCTCACAAAAGTGGCTCTCTCTTCTCTCCTCCTTGCAGCTCAGCTTTTAAACCCGAGAAGAGCTGAGTTCAAGGCCGTGAACCATCAAACGCGTCCGTGAACTCACGCCTTGTGCCAAAATGCTCTGCATCGATCACGCCAACTGCTTGTGTTCACGGTCTTAGTGACCGTGAACTCGCCTTGCGTCAGTAACCTTCAACTTGGCTCTGAACGCCTTGCGCTTCACGGTCAAATCTTCTTCTTCACGGTCTTGCACGACCGTGAACTCCTGCCTTTAGCCGTGAACTTGCGATTTTTCACCTCTTCTCCCGGTTTTCGATCCTTTTCGCCAATCCTTCAACCCTGAGGCTGGTTCCACCTGTTAAATCCTGAAAAGCACTCAAACATGAAGAACCTCGCGTAAAACAAACCTTTAATGAGCGAATTTGGCACAAAAATCTAAGCAAACCGGGGGCAAAATTGTGCAATTAGGCCCGAATCAATTCTGAAGCTTGAAGAAAGTTTGAGGCTAGCTGAGTGTAAGGAAGAAAAGAGGAAGAAAGAGAAGAAAATTTTGGCTAAAAAGCTATCAAGATGGATGAAGGCGCATGAAATTATGCTAGTTGAAGGAAGGAGAGTTAAACATGATATCCATGTAATTCGAGCCTTATTCACAGTGATTGTCGTACTGAACCTAATAGTGATTGTTCTTCTATCGCACCACTTTCTTATGTAGAAGTTTGTTGCAAATCGACATTGTTGTGTGGTAGGAGACGAATCGACATTGTTGTTGTAATTCGACATTGGTATGATAAGGTTGTAAACGTTATCAACCTAATTGTTGTGTAGAAGTAATAGTTTTTGTTGTTCATTATGCACAAGTAGGCCATGAATGAAGTTGTAGTTTTTCGCAGCATTCATGAATGAAGTTGTAGCCTTGACATTGTAGAAATAGGTTGCTTCAAATAGAACAATGTTGCATTAACTGTCATTACAAGAGAAGCTTAACACAATAGCATAACATTCTACTGGTTGTTCACTACATACCCCCATAACATAATAGTAGCCTAACATAATCCGAGTTGTTCATTACATACTAGCCTAACATAATCCGAGCTGTTCATAATCCGAGCTTTACATTACATACTTTTGCCTAACATAAAAGGCCATTACATGAGTCACCTTCCCAAATTCCGAGCTATGAGTGTTCTTAATGGCCTTCCACAAAAAAGACTGGAGTTGACTCACGGATAGACACTTCTAAGGGTGTGTGGGTGGGAGTTGGCTTCCATTCATTTGGACCTTAGTGGGTTGCGTGCTTCCAACCGGACGTCCTCTCGAGCCATTGAGCTGAAATATAGACAGATTACCACATTATATTGCAGTTTTAGAACCAGACTGTAATAATCATATAAATCTGACCTGCAATACGAACTCTAACGTATTGGTTCCCAGTATGCTCGGATACATAAACTCAAACTCCTCTTGTGGCAACTCGCGTTTAATAGTTCTTCGGTCAGTAACATTGAGCCTAACATCCTACCATTACAAGCATAGAACACTAACATTAGATAACATAAAACCTACTATTATGTCTAAATTTATGTTATTATTCTAACCCCATTCATGCTAACTTACTTGGATACCAACTCCTTGGTTTAGAGGACATGTTCTTGCATTATGAGTACTTGAACCGCACTTGGATCAATGACCTACTCTAGTTCTCCTTGATGTATTCCCTGTGTTTCCTGGATTTGGTGTTGTTCTAGGTCGCTTGCTTCTAGGTCCATTGTTTCCTAGAGTTGGTATTGTTGTAGGTCCATTGTTGTTGTTCTAACAAAGAAAACAGGCAAATCAGTTAGATACAATCCATCAAAAACCTACAAATCAGGGTAGTATACATAACAGTTGAGCTACAACCGTAGGAGTTGTACAAGTTCTTGTATTATGACCTTCCCCGCCACACTTCTTGCAATGGATGACTGACCCCCTTCTAATCACCTCCTCTCCCATCCCATTTCGTATAGGTCGAACCTCCCGCTCGTGGGCAGGCTTCCTGCGATTCTTCTTTGGTCTGTCGGGCAACCTTCTTTGCTTGGGTGAGTGTATTGGAAATCCCTCGACAGTAGGCGAAGCTTGTCTACAGTCTAGACAAGGGATTCTAGTCTTGTATGCGTACTCAGCGTTGTGTGCATAGTAAGTTGAATGCACGTAATCGTCTACCTCCTTCCTCAGATGAGAAATAGCAGAGATAGCATGGCAGCATGGAATGCCACTCAGTGACCACCACCCACACGTGCAAGACCTTGCTCCTAAGTCAACAATGTACCATGCAGGTCCCAACTTGACCTCACACTTATCGTTCAAAGTCTGTCTTGCCGAGCATAACCTGGCCAAAACTTTCTCTTTCTCTACTCTTTTACTAATCATAGGGCATAGCAAATCTGTTGTATCCTGCAACATCTTATACTTCGCTACAACCCTATCCATCACATACCCACTAATCCCCTCTAACATTTCTATGATTCGTATACACCTGTACTTGACAATCACACCATTCCAAGTTTCACAAATATTCGACTCCACTGAGTCACACTTGGGTAGAGGAGACAAGTAAGCTCGGCAAAACGACTGAGGTTCTTCATTCATGAAATCAGTAAATGGTGTGGTACCTTGTTCCTGACCTTCAATTTCAGAAGTAGCAGACCTACAGTCTACCTCATTGCAAGCGTATACTGCCCTCCTAAACAATTTTCTAACAAGATCAGTCTTGTTTCTCACTTTCCAGTTTGAGTGCACGTTCCTTGCGCACTTTCTATGCTCGGCTTCGGGCAACAGCTCATGTATAGCTTCAACTAACCCCTGCAAGGGTATGCATAGATTAATATAACCAGCCACTGAAGCCATTCATTTAATCTGTGAATTGTAAAATATTACCTTTTGCTAGTCCGAGATGATAGACCATCCTCTGGCGTCATGTAGGTGCAAGTCTTGAGTTAAAGTGTTGACAAATCATCTCCAGGAGTTTGAGTTTTCTCCCTCTACAACCGCCCAAGCAATTGAGAACATTTGGTTGTTGACTCATACCACTTATAGCCACTTCCTTCCCAATAGCAGGGGGGTACGAGGGTCGTCGACTTCGTCTTTCTCAGAAGGGGGAAAAGGTGGTGTTTGAAGAAAATTTGAAGACGGAGGAAAAAGTGGGCGGGTTAAATGCAGTGTTATTAAAGCCGAGCCGAGCCGCTCGGCCCGACCGGTAAAACCGCCATTCGGTCACAAAACCGGCTTGGAACAGTCTAAAAGCCGCTCCGGTTTTATGTAGCGATTGGCGAGCGGCCGAGGCGATTAACCGTTCGAGCCGCTCGTCCGGTTTTTGCCATTCAGCCACTAAATTTAATTAAAAAAATTATAGAAAATTGAAATAAACCAAAAACGTCGGGCTCTCAAATTGAAATAAACCAAAAAATGTCCACAATTTATACTGATAACGTTTATTAGATACCGGTTCTCTAACGGTTTTTAAACGGTCTAATGTCGATTAGATCGCTAAAGTGCGAGCTGTTCGCGTTAACGGGTCATGCTCCGGTTCAGACAACATTGGTTAAATGAGTGGTTTTGATTTTTTGCTCATTATTTTTTTTAAATAATTATTATCCACGTGAACAATTGGAGAGAAAATTGGAAATAAGTGATGGCCACGTAAGCCTCTACGTTTGCCCAGTCACACTTAACGTTAACATCGTTAAAGAATTGGACGAAAGTGGCTATAAGTGGTATTACGCTAAATTTGGCTATTATTGACACAAACGTCAAAGTTTGGGCATACAAGTGTATTTTGCCAATATATTAATCCTTATATTTTTTAGATTTTAGATGGGTTAATATTTTCTTATGGCCTGAACTTTGACAAAAATAAACATTCTGGCCAATCTTTTCGATCTATAACATCCTGGCCCGAACTATACACCAAAATAAACAATTTGGCCAAACCCGATGTTTGACCGTTAACTTGGACGGTCAAACGCATTGACTAACGGTCAACGTGCAACGTCACTGCCAAGTCAGAAGATCTGATAAATATTTAATTTTTTCATTTTTTATTTTTGGTTTAACTAAAGTATTAGATGCCTTTTTAATTTATAATAACTTAAAATTAGAGAATGTGTGGAAATTGTGAATTATTTTAAATATTTTATGCTGACTTGGCAGTGACATGGTGCGTTGACTAACGGTCAACGTGTTTGACCGTCCAAGTTAACGGTCAAAAGTCGGATCTGGCCAAATTGTTTATTTTGGTGTATAGTTCGAGCCAGGATATTATAGATCGAAAAGATTGGTCATGATGTTTATTTTGGTCGCCCATAAGAAAATATTAACCCATTTTAGATTTAGATTAGACTGATCTCAGTCTGTGCTCCGGTGTCTCTTTCTCCGCCACTCCGCTTTTCTCCTCCGCCACTCCGCCTTTCTTCTTCCCCATATCTCCCACCCCCGCCGCCACTGCCATGGCTCTATCCACCGCGACCAACCCGACCGTCGCCGCAACCACTCCTTCATCCGCCTCTCCCATTACCAGCCTCTTCTCCTCCCGCCTCACCCCTACAATTTATCGCCGCCGTTTCCGCCAGAACTCCACCGTCGTCTCGGTCTCCACCTCCTCCAATTGCAGCGCCGTCGCGCCCGGATGGTCCGTCGAGAGCTGGAGATCCAAACCGGCCGTCCAGATCCCGGACTACCCCAACAACGAGGAGCTCGATTCGGTTCTCCAGACCCTCAGCTCGTTCCCGCCAATTGTGTTCGCCGGGGAGGCACGGAAGCTCGAGGAAGGTCTCGCTAGCGCCGCCGTTGGAAAGGCGTTCCTCTTGCAAGGTGGGGACTGTGCGGAGAGCTTCAATGATTATAATGCCAACATCATTAGGGATACTTTCCGTGTTATTCTCCAGATGGGCATCGTTCTCACTTTTGGCGCTCAAATGCCCATCATCAAGGTTGAAACCGAATCCCTAACTTCTTTGATTCGATTCCAGTTTCGCTTCAATTTTAATAATTTTTTTCCCCAATTCCTGTCAGGTTGGGAGAATGGCTGGGCAGTTTGCTAAACCTAGGTCGGATTCATTTGAGACCAAGGATGGGGTGAAGCTGCCAAGTTACAGAGGAGATAACATCAATGGCGATGCCTTTGATGAAAAATCTAGAGTTCCTGATCCGCAAAGGCTTATCAGAGCTTACCTTCAGTCCGTTGGCACTTTGAATCTGCTCAGAGCTTTTGCCACCGGTGGATATGCTGCTATGCAGAGAGTTTCACAATGGAATCTCGACTTTGTGCAGCACAGTGAGCAAGGAGACAGGTATAATAGCTTCAGTTATGCCTTTTTATACCGGTTGCAATTTTGAAGGTTCCAGATGTTGTTACAAATGGCTGAAATAATGTTTTCCCCCCTTTTGTTAATGGCAGGTACATGGAACTAGCTAGTAGGGTGGATGATGCAATCGGGTTCATGACTGCAGCTGGCCTTACCATTGATCACCCAATCATGAACACAACCGAGTTTTGGACATCGCATGAGTGCCTTCATCTGCCGTACGAGCAGGCCATGACAAGGGAAGACTCGACGACGGGTCTCTTCTATGACTGCTCTGCTCACATGCTCTGGGTAGGGGAGAGGACTAGACAGTTGGGTGGAGCTCATGTCGAGTTTCTCCGGGGTGTCTCAAACCCTCTTGGCATTAAGGTACATAGTGGTTCCATCATCTCTGGAATCGTTAACGATCATAAATTATAGCTACATGGTGTGACATTCTTGCATTGTGATATTAGGTTTGCAGTGTTACCAACCCTTTTAGAAGAGAGTGTATCTCTATTGCAAAGAAACAGACGACAATTGATTTCTATAAATGACACAGACCATCCACTTAAAATCATAATCATAGATGATATGGTCTGCAATGGTGTCTTAATGTTTTGGGATGTGGGTCAACATTTGAGTGCATCAAGCTGGCTGATTTAGTCTCTGTTGTTCACTATTTGCGTTTCTGTGTCCCCATATGTTACTAGGGGAAATGCAAAGGATAAGAGCACGTTATTAGGCCAGGTTTGGTGATTTCAATTTCTCACTACCCAGTCCAGTGCTCAATGCAATACCGATAGGCAAGTTCGATGACATTGTTGACCAGAGAAATATCTCGAGTAACTGTTTTTGCATTTCTGTGTTTACTTGCTGCCCAGGTTAGCGATAAGATGGATCCACAGGAGCTTGTGAAACTGTGTGAAATTCTTAATCCTCACAATAAACCTGGAAGGCTGACGATTATCACCAGAATGGGAGCAGACAACATGCGAATCAAACTACCCCATCTAATCAGAGCCGTCAGGAATGCTGGTTTGATCGTCACCTGGGTCAGTGATCCCATGCATGGAAACACAATCAAGGCACCCTGTGGGCTAAAAACTCGAGCTTTCGATGCTATCAGGGTAATGAATAACTCTGAGAATCCCTTCACCGTCTATATCAAAGCCTTTTCTCATTCGATGGTATCTGAGTCAAGCAACAGACTCTGAACTTTGTGGTCACTAAACTTTTATTTTTGACAAACTTGTCAAATAATCAACTCGTAGTATGTCAAATAGTTGTAAGCTAATCCAAATCCCTGTGCCTGATAAGACCTGCTTCCTTTCTTTTCTTTTGTAGGCCGAGTTGAGGGCGTTCTTCGACGTACATGACCAGGAAGGCAGCTACCCAGGTGGAGTCCACCTGGAGATGACAGGGCAGAACGTGACGGAGTGCGTTGGAGGGTCGAAGACCATCACATTCGATGACCTGAACTCGCGTTATCATACTCACTGTGACCCCAGGCTCAACGCATCACAGTCACTAGAGCTGGCATTTGCCATAGCAGAGAGGTTGAGGAAGAAGAGGTTGAGATCTGGGAAAAGCATCACAGGCGGAAGCAATGGTGTAACCATATAAGGATGGTGCTGATGCCTAGTTAGCTTCCAGCTAATATCAGGTTTCCAGGATCGGCTTGTTGAAGTTTCTATGCATCTGTATGTGTCGAAGTATCTGTTTTGCTTCGTTATCAGTTTTGCCGTTTCCTCAGTGTTTGTGAAACTATATTGAAGATCCGGTGACGGTGTGAGTGCAATGGTTTAAGAGAAGTGTAGCTATGGTTCTGTACTTCTGTACCTGTTTTTGATTTGTTTTGTTCTTTTAATTAAGTTCTGATTGACCGACTGAAAAAGCAAAGTACTTCCACTTTCAATAACCAAAATGAAGTAAATTTCACATATTCCCCCGAATATTGGCAGAGGCTTTATAAAAAAAAAAACACCCAAGGAAGAAGATGTTTAATCCATGTTCTTTGTTTGAATATCTAAATTAGGGTTACCATTTTTTTTTTTTGGATAAAGATGATATAGATTAAATTAACAAACAACCAGTACAAACTACAAAGACTGGAAAGGCAAAAGATACAAGAGAACAAAGAAAGAAAAGCAACAGCTCAGAAAAGCGGAGCCGAGACAACAGAAAACAAAGAAAGGAACGAAACGAAACAAACAGGGACGAGACCAAAACTCTCTTAAAGGATAACGAAACAAGCAAGAGTGCAAGACAATGGGATGAACGTCTTTTTTACTTTGGTATATAGGTAAATTGAAATTAACAAACGAGCAAAATGATTCATCGCTGTGAGTAACTTAAAAAGTTCCATGCATACCGCTATCATTGTGTGCAGAGTCCTAGATGACTGGGTTAGCCCTCGGGTGGCTGTGGGGTTCTTCTAGTAGCATCTCGTGTAAGAGTGTCTCAACCTTCTTTGCAGGGTGATCAAGTCCTCGTGTCAGTCTTTCGATAGTTCATTTCTCAACGTTAAGTGGTTGGACTGTGTTGGACCAGCAACCTTTAAATTTATCTGGCGACAACATAACTCAAGTTCAAGTAATCATGTCATAGAGGTTCCTAGTCATAAGAAGTTAAAATTAATATGATAATTTATCGACCGTTAAAATTATTCTACACAGATCTATGACTACTGTTAGACAGTTTCTTTTTAGGGTAAATACACTATATTAGCCAAATCTTTGATTTTAAACAAAATAATAGCCAAAATTTTTATTTTAAACAAAATAATAGCCAAATTTTTCAAAAAACAAAATAATAGTCAAACCATTAACTTTCCATCCGATTGTCTGACAGTTGACTCTGACATGACAACTTGATTGCTGAGCTGAAAATGTTTGTGATGTGACATTTAATTAACCCGCCAAGTCACTGCCTAGTCATCTTACGAAATATTAAAAAAATATTTAAATTCACATATTTTTCCTAATATCTATTATTTATCATTTAACCAGAAAATTAAAATCAATAAAGTAAATTCCCCTAATTCTAGCCGAGTGAAAAGCGGCGATGTAGGCAAATCTCCTTTCTCTCTCGAGTCTCAATTGCAGATCCGGGAACTAAAATCGCCCACTCGCTCGATCCACTATTGGAGCCACTAGAAGAATCGTAGCCGAGCCGGTCAACTTTCTCGACATCCATCCTTCCTCCGCCTCCTCACGAATCACGATTCTTTTTCTTCTCTTCCTCTATGGGTATCGGCGATGTAATTTGGGGAAAGGAGTTGAGCTTGTAACGAGATGGTGAAATGAATAGGGTTTAATTCGGAATATGGTTTCTTCGACAGTCCATCCATTCCTTCTCAATCGACGCTTGTTATGTTGATGATCCCTCCACGTCTTTATTTCTTTTGTTTTCATTTTCGTAAATCTCCGATCGAAGAGTCAACAGCAAGTACGAAATTGTTTAATCAGGGTGTATTGTAAGGAAAACCGCAGGTTTCCCTGTGGCTCTAGGCCTTGTATGTATATGAACTTCCAACTCCTTCTTCAAGAAGGGAAGGAGTGTTTTAACCCAGCCACAGCTGTACAATGGTAACAAACCGAAATATAAAATGACAACGAAACAAAACTAGACACGTGTATCTATACAGTAAAAACGGAAACGGACAGCGACACTAATTGGAACGGCACCGTTTCTTCCCAGCTCCTCAATTGCTTCCGGGTGAGAACGACGTCGTGCCAAGGGCTCCTTAGTGCTGCTTCGTCGATGTGGTACAACTCCTCAGTTCAGAATGCATCAAGCAACTTCAATACCCTCCCTCAAGCTGATGCATACAAGTTTTGTATGCTCAGCTTGGAAAGCAAGAACTGCAATCTGAACCTGCTGAGTCCCTTGGTGAAAAGATCTGCAATTTGATTTTCAGTATCCAAGTGACTCAATCCAATAAGCTTCGACTGGAGGAACTGTCGAACCACATGACAGTCGATCTCAATATGTTTGGCTCTCTCATGGAAAACCGGGTTCTCAGCTATATATATTGCAGATCGACTGTCACAGAAAAGGTTTACAGGTTTCTGATGTTCAATGCCAAGCTCCTGTAACAACCTTTTCACCCAAACTACTTCACATGTCAAATGAGCTAGAGCCCTGTACTCAGCTTCAGACGATGATCTAGACACTGTCCCTTGTTTCTTTGACTTCCAAATAATCAATGAGGGACCAAGGGTGATACAGTATCCAGTTGTAGATCTCCTTGTATCAGGGCACAAGGCCCAGTCAGAATCACTGTACCCTTTGAGGGTAAGATCAGATGATGCAGCATAAAACAATCCCTGACCTGGAGCATTCTTCAAGTACTTAAGAATTATGTAAGCCAATTGTAGATGAGTGGAAGTTGGAGCTGCTTGATATTGGCATAATTGCTGTACTGCAAATGTAATCTCAGGCCTGGTAATTGTCAAGTAATGGAGTCTCCCCACTATTCTTCTGTAAAGTCCAGGATCATCTAGAAGTGGACCATCATCTGCAGATAACCTTGTTTTCATGTCAATGGGAGTAACAACAGGCTTAGAGTCAGCAAAGCCTGTGTCTGATAGAAGATCTGTGCAATATTTCTTCTGACAGAATGATGGAGGAAAATGGAATAATCATCTACATACACCAGAAGTATGGATGAACCAGCCGATGAATGATGGAGGAACATGGAATAATCACTATGTGACTGTGTATAGCCAAAAGAGATGAGAACAGAAGTAAGTTTAGCAAACCACTGCCTAGAAGCTTGTTTAAGCCCATATAAGGATTTTCTTAGTTTGCAAACATAACCATCTTTGACCATACCATGTGAAAGTTCCATGTAGACCTCCTCTTCTAAGTCTCCATTAAGGAAAGCATTACTGACATCCAATTGAAACATGGTCCGATTCTTAGCGGCTGCCACTGCCAGAAGAGTCTTAACTGAATTTAGTTTTGCCACTGGTGAATAGGTATCAAGGAAGTCAATACCATATATTTGAGTAAATCCTTTGGCTACCAGTCTAGCCTTATGTCTTTCAAGTGAGCCATCTGACAAAAACTTGATGGCATATACCCATCTGTTACCAATGAGCCTCTTATTAAGAGGTCTAGGTACAATATCCCAAGTTCTATTTGCATCTTGTGCTGCCAGTTCATCATTCATAGCTCTTCTCCAATGTTCCTCCCTAACTGCTTCTTCAAATGATGAAGGAATTGAGGCAGAATCAATTGCCATTACATATTTCCTGTAGCTAGGAGACAACTGATCATATGACAAACAAGCAACCATTGGATAAACTAATTTTTCATGCGTGGTTCCTAGATTTAGCACATAATCATTGTATTTGATAGGTTTGGAAATATTTCTGGTAGATTTTCTGACTGCAATTGGAAGAGATTGAGATTGAGGTTGTGGTGAAACAGGTATTGAAGAAGCAGAATGTGATTGAGGAGAAGGTTGAGAAGAAGGCTGAGGGGAATGGTTGGGAGAAACTGGGGAAGGAGGAGGAGTAGAAGGCAAATTGTGTGAGGGAATAGTAGAAGGTGTGGGAATAGGTTTCTGTGGGAAAAGGAAAAGATGGGAACTGCTGCATTTGTGGTGCAGAGTCAATGGTATCATTTGAATGAGCTGATATGGGAGAAGTGGATAAACAAGGTATAATGTCTTCATGAAACACTACATCCCTTGAGATAATGACTTTCTGTTCTTTCAAATCCAGGAGCTTATATCCTTTGATACCAGAAGGAAATCCTAGGAACACACATTGTCTGGCCCTAGGTAGAAATTTGGTTCTATTGTGCCCTGATGTACTAGCCTAACACAAACATCCAAAGACTTTCAAAAGAGTTAACTCTGGTGGAGTGCCATACAAGATTTCATAAGGAGTTTTGTTGTCTATGGCAATGGAAGGAAGTCTGTTTATGAGATATACAGCATGTAGAACAAAGTCTGACAAGAATTTTAAAGGAAGACCTGACTGGAACATTAAAGCTCTAGCAACATTGAGAATATGTTGGTGTTTGCGTTCCACTCTAGCATTCTGTTGTGGTGTTTCCACACAGGACATTTGATGGATTATACCATGAAGGGAATAAAATTCTGGTATATGAAACTCTGCTCCTTGGTCTGACCTGACCATTTTAACTTTCTTACCAAACTGTGTATGAATCATGACACAGAAATCTTGTAAAATTTTCCTAGCTTCACTTTTAAACTTCATTAGATATGTCCAAACACATCTAGATCTGTCATCTACAATAGTGAGAAAGTAGTGAAAACCAGTGTAACTGGAAACAGCCAAAGGGCCCCAAATGTCAACATGAATGAGATCAAATATCTCTTTGGCAATAGACTGCCTTAAAGGAAAGGAAAGACGCTTTTGTTTAGACATATGACAAACATCACAGTGATGTAAAGTTTCTATATCTATACTAGGAATGGATTTCTTCAGCTCCTTAGCTCTAACATCGGATGGGTGTCCCAAACGCCAATGCCAGACATCAAAGGACTGAGGTGTGAGATTGTGTGTCTTGAGAGAATTAAAATGTATGGATTGGTCTTCTGTAGTAGGTATAAGTTGGTATAATACCCTAGTCTCTTGGGCAAAACCAATCATCTTCTTGGTTAGAAGGTCCTGGATAGAACAAATGGTTGATTTAAAAATGAGTGAGATGGGTAAGGACTTTGTGAGTTTACTTACTGAAATAAGGTTAAAGGAAAAGGTTGGGACAAACAACACATCATGAATAACAAGATGTGGTGACAAACGCACACTACCAGAATGGGTTGCTGGAGTTTTGGAACCATTTGGTAGAGTGACTGAAACATTCATAATAGGTTTATGCTTAATGAAGCTAGAAAAAGAACATGTCACATGATCTGTAGCACCAGTATCTAAGAACCACACATCAATCAATTCCAATGGATGTTGTTGTAAATATGAGGTAAGTGTATATTTACCTGCATAATTGGGATTCACTGACATGTGCCTACTCACTGAATTCACAACTGGCTGTTGAGATTGATGCCAAGTTTGATTAGTTCCAGGTGATACAGGAGATGTAGGAGATCCAGGAGACCCAAACTGAGACAATATCTTCTGCAGTCTACTAATATCCTCATTAGACAGCCTTAAATTTGTAAATCCATCAATGTTCTCATTCATAGACCTGGTCTCTGGCTTAGGCAGAATACCTCCTCCCACATTATCCATGCTTTGAAATTGTCCTGCAAAGGGAGAGGGAGACCCAGATTCTTTGTTCTTTCTCTTGAGTCTGTAACAATCAGCAATGACATGGTTGTCTTTCTTACAGTATCTGCAGAAAAGAGTCCCCTGCCCCCCTTTAGAATTCTCTTTTCCCTTTGCCTAATTTGCAGCCAGCAAAGCAACTGTATCAACCTGTGACTCTTGACTCGGTTTAGTAACCTGCCTCTCATGTTGAATGGCATAATGGAAAGCAGTCTCCATGGTAGGCATTGGATGCATCATGAGGAGATTTGTCTTAACTCCTCCATAGGATTCATTCAGACCAGTTATGAACCTAGTGACAAACTCATTTTCCCTATATTTCTGAACAGTAGTCTCTGTAATACAGGGTATAGCCCTGTTCATATGATCTCCACAAACACAAGCTGGAATAGGCAGAAACTGAAATAACTCTTCCCAATGTCCCTTCAGCCCAGAATAGAATTGGTTAACGACTTGTTACCTTGTTTTAGGGTGTACACTGCAGTCTGAAGATCACTGATGCGGATGTTATCAGCTTATCCATAACGCTGTCTCAGATCATCCCAAAGTAGTTTTGCATTATCTTGAGAAGACACACTGTTGACCAGAGAAGGATCCAGAGACCCTAGGATCAAAAAGTAGACTGCAGTGTTGCTCTGTTCCCAAGCCTGATAGCTCTCATGAGTTGGATCTGGAACGGGAATGGTGCCATTTATAAAACCCAGCTTGTTCTTGCTCTTCAAAGCAACTCTCACAGTACGACTCCAGAGATTGTAGTTGGCCGTCCCTGTGAGCTTGATTGGGAAGCTCAATGCCTCATTGGGGTTAACATAGAACGGGTTGGTGACTTAGATACCACTGTAATACTAGTAGAACTAGTAGCTACTGTTGAAGAAGCTGCTTTCGTCGACATTGTTGGAAGCAAGAAGGAGAATCAGATGAACAGATGGGTAAGGAAGAAGAATGCGGGCAATGTGAGTGAAGAAAATCCTAGACGCCTGAACCAGGCTCTGATACCATACGAAATTGTTTAATCAGGGTGTATTGTAAGGAAACCCGCAGGTTTCTCTGTGGCTCTAGGCCTTGTATTTATATGAACTTCCAACTCCTTCTTCAAGAAGGGAAGGAGTGTTTTAACCCAGCCACAGCTGTACAACGGTAACAAACCGAAATATAAAATGACAACGAAACAAAACTAGACACGTGTATCTATACAGTAAAAACGGAAACGAACAACGACACTAATTGGAACGGCACCATTTCTTCCCAGCTCCTCAATTGCTTCCGGGTGAGAACGACGTCGTGCCAAGGGCTCCTTAGTGCTGCTTCGTCGATGTGGTACAGCTCCTCAGTTTAGAATGCATCAAGCAACTTCAATAGCAAGTGCACCTATCCATGTCGGGATTTCTTCGCTGCTCGTCGATTCAGCTTGTCAAGGCCTTGTTATACTCGATTTAGTTTGAAGAAAATTGATTTGTCTTTCAACAATTTCGTTAGTGGGGGTTATTCGATTCCTTCTTCGAATGAATTAGAGGGTCAAATCTCGGGTGTGACAAGAATATAGCTCTAATAAAGCTTCCCGTTCATCTACGTCAGCCTAGCCAAAATCTCTAGTCATCGTTGCAGTCGAAGGCTTCTCCGTCACGGTTATAGGTGTTAATCAGGAGGGTTCGGGTCGGGTTAGTCGGGTTTTGGGTTAGTCGGATTTCGGGTTCGTCGGGCTCCGGATTCATCGGTTCGGGTTCAATCGGGTTTGGGTTCATTCGGGTTCGAATTCAATCGGGTTTCGGACAAATCGCATTGCGGGTTCATCACGTTTCGGGTCGGGCGGGTTGCGGGCGGATCGGGTTGCGGGTTGTTCAGGACAACACATCGAGTTACTTACTCCTTACTCACTACCAACTTACACATTTTTTTACACTAATTTAAAATATTTTTCACAATTTTTGACCAACTTATTTCTAGTCATATATATACTTAATTAAAAAAAAAACTAGTCAAAATGTTGAATTAATTTGAATGATTTCCAAACTTGTCATGTAATTAATCATAATTGTTAAAGTGCACTAGCTAATAGTAATAGCGAAATCAACATTTGCAACCAATAAACACTATTAGCAAACCAAGCAAAACACCACTCTAAAAACAATGAAGAAAAACACTTTTTCTTATCTCAACATTTTTGGGCGGCAATATAGACCAATCCAAACGAAAATTGGGCGGCAATATAGATCAATGCAAACGAAAATTTGGTGGCCTTTTAGAGCGGGAATGAAGAAGTTGGGCGGCAATGCAACGGGAAGCAAAATTAAGCAACAATAAAAGACATGAATTATATATGTAATAAATTACAAGCTTAATTCTCAGTGAAGTATAAACTTTTTGTTTAACAATAAAATATATGGATCAAGGTTCATGGAAAATTTTTGCAAGTCGTTGTCAATCAATAATACTAATTTATATCCATATGCAAAATCTAGACAAAGCACTAATATTATAAATAACAGTTTGTGGGAGTTGGATTCGGGCTTAATGATAAAGAAATTGAAACGTTGTGGGTGGAATGGGGGGAATTTTCCCTCATTAGATTTTCATTTTGGTAGAGACAAATTGTAGAGGGAAAGCAAAATGAGAAGAACGAAAAGTGGGGAGGGAAACTTTGGAGAAGTGAAAAGTTGCGATGAAGATATCAAAATGAGAGGGGGGAAGTTTCCCACCTAAATGAAAATGTGGTGGGAGAATTAGTGAGTAAGATTAAGTTTCCAACCTAAATTTAAAATAATATGCATTTGAGATAGGATAACTTTTTACATGTTATCAAATCTACTATATCAAATTAATAATGCCTATAAGCTATAGTATGGTTTGTTATAGAGTATAGACAATATTTTAGTGACTAAATGTTACACTCCTATATCATCATATGTAAACATTGTGATAATTTTTCTCTCTTTTTTCTCTTAAAAAAATACGAAATACAAAATTTTCCTCTTATTTTTTTCCATAAATAAAAACATCAAAATTTCCTACATTTTTTCTTCTTATAATTTAGATTATTTTTAGTGAATCATTTAGTTCTTTACGGACGAAGAGATAGCATTCTTTTACTTTGGTTGGATATTTCATCAAATCTATGGCAAGTAAGTAAAACAGAAATCCGTGGATCATTAAGGACCGACTACTTGTTCTTCGCCAATGGTCTCCTGTTATCTCGAAGGGGACGTTTGAGGAAATGGCAAAGGCGCCGTTTCGAATACAATTATGGGGAGTTCAAGATGATTTCTGCACCAAGCTATTTGGACAGAAGCTTATTACTGCAACGATTGGGCAGGTTATGGAATCGGGCATTTTTGCTTGTAAGGATACCGGGGAACGGTTTATCAAAGTCAATACTACTATCGACTTCTCCAAGCCAATCCGATCGCAGTTGATGGCGATCAGTGAGGATATTGAAGGCTTCTGGGTGAATCTCAAGTATGAGTTCTTGCCCAGCTTTTGTTTCCACTGCGGCCGTGTCGGCCATGCACGCCGGGATTGCAACTTTGATCCGCCAAATCGTAAGGAGCGGTTCGGACCGCACATGATTACGAAGAAAGTGGGCCGAAAAATTTATGAGGAAGAAGGCAATGAGTTTCCCCTCGGGGGATCCGGCCGTTCGGTGTGGATAAACCGCCAGAATCGGACTATCCCGATGGCGGTAAAGGGGGAGTCTAGCTCGGGACCGAGGAAGTTCAACCAGCCGGCGTTGAAGCCTGCTCCTTCCCAGGCTATATCTGGAGCGGTCTCCTTTGATGAACCCGATTCGTTCAGGGGAAGTGGGCAGGGTCGTTCACCGCATCGGCGAGGCAGTCCTGGTGGGATTATGCTAAACCGACACCCCAAGCTCAGATTGGGAAATAATAGGCAGAAGCAGGTGGGCTCCAAGAAGGGAGTAAGGATGGCGGACACTAAACTTCCGGCGATGGCAGTTTCTCCGCAACCCAGTTCTCCGGGCCGGGCGGACTTGATTTCGAACCGAGGGTATGGGGAGGAACAGCCCACTGGAGTCCATGCGGAAACGCGGCACCGACGCCTGCTCCTCGAAGATGACTCAGATGATGATATGGTGGATGTGGCGCCACTGCCGACGAGTAGTGGGCTGGGAGTGAAGCTGGAGGGAGCCCCGATGCATCCAAAAAATTTTATTGCCCCGCCGGCGCCAGGGGCGTTAAAGCCAGGAAAAGGGAAGGCTCGCCGGTCCAAGGATCCCCCGCGGCGCAAAGCGGGAGGGAGGGCTGAATTGCGAAGGATGGGGGAGGTGAATGAGGCTACCCAGCTCCCGGAGGAAACTGTTGAGATATCGGCGGGGCAGGCTGCTGCTAGTGGCGCTCCTAGGATGGGGAATGAGACTCCCATGAAGCGAAAGCCCAGCCGGGCAAAGAATCCCTTGCTGCAGACGGAGGTTGATGAAGCGCCTCCTGGTGATGACTCGATGGTGGAGGTGCGAAAGATGAAATCCAAGCCAGTGGCTTCGCGTGGCAGGCGGCTGCTGTTGAAGACAAAATCGGCGAAAGAAATGGCGGAGGGGATGCGTGATGTTGATGCAAAGGTGGGTGCGGGGCTGGTTGACTATGAACAACCCGACCCCGACAACCAGAAGGGCGTTATAGAGGCTTCCCAGTTGGCGGATAGCGAGTCGGAGGAATCTGCGGTGGGTGCGGAGTCCCAGAATTTTATGATAAAAAAAAGAAGCCCTATAGCTGCTCCTCGACAGCATTGCAGCACCTCTACCGGTCGGGTTAGCCAAGTGGTAGCAGCTTTTGAAGGAGGGTTGACTATTGCTGATGAGGGGATGGAACAGCCCATGGGTGTTGGCATAATTGATGTACCTGGTTCTGAAGAGACCAAGCGTGGAGAGCTAGATGCGGGGAGTTTTGATGAGTATGGCTCAAATATGCTGATCCCGCCGCCTGGAGTTCTCAAGCGTCCTCTTGAGGTGGTGGAGGGGGAGTTGGGCATCCCGCCCACCCCCAAGAAGCAGTTCGTGGAAGTTGATGAGGATCCTGGAAAGGTGGAGGTAGCCAGCCTGGAGTGGCCCCAACCGGATAAATGAGACTACTTGCCTGGAATGTGAGAGGCTTAGGGCCTTCTCTCACATTCCAAACGGCAGTGAGTCTGGTCCGTTCGAACAATCCGGAGCTGGTGTTTCTCTCTGAAACTCGGTCTAGTCGTCGTGTTGTCTCCCGTCGGATGAGGGGTCTTGGCTTTGATATTTCGCAGTGTTTTTTTGTTGATGCGGTTGATGCCTCTGGGGGGTTAGTGTTTGCCTGGTCCCCAGATGTTAATGCATCTGTTTTTTATTCATCAAATTTCTGTATTTGCTCCCAGATTAATGAAGTGGATTTCTCTTATATTGTGGTTTGTGTTTATATTAGTTGTTCGGTTTCCACCAGAACAGCCCAATTGGCTCACCTTCAGGGAATCTGTTCTGCTTTCCAACTCCCTTATGTGGTTATTGGTGATTTTAATACTATCCTGACTGATAGCGAGAAGGATGGTGGTCTCCCGTGGAATGCCCATAACTCGAATAGCTTGCGGGACTTTATTTATGACTTGGGTCTCCATGATCCTGGGTACCAAGGTGACCTCTTCACTTGGACAAATAAGAGGATGGGTAATGCTTGTATTAGAGAGCGGTTGGATAGGGCTCTCTGCTCCCAAACCTGGATTGATCGTTTCCCGGATACCTTGCTCAAACATTATACGGACCAGGGCTCGGACCATAGAGCCCTCCTGTTGTCGGATAAACCTTATAGACGTCATAACCGGCCCCTCTTCCGATTTGATGCCCGTTGGGCGGACAATCCGGAAGTAAGGGCGATGGTTAGTTATGTATGGCAGGAAGACATCCAGGGAACCCCGATGTTTTGTCTTTGGGAGCGCCTGAAGAGACTTCGTCATCTCCTTTATGATTGGAGTAGAGCGGGCACGACGAACTCCTTACGGAATATTCGCACCCTTCAAAGTGAAATCGACAGGGTCAAAAGGGTTCAGCCTATTGACTGGAATATGGTCCGGGAGCTGGAGATCGAGTTGAGCCGGCAATGGGAAGCAGAGGAACTGTACTGGCAGCAGAAGTCCAGGGTCCACTGGTTGAAAAAGGGTGATAAAAACTCATCTTACTTCCATACTGTGACGAGAGTCCGTCGGAAGAGAAATTTTGTTGCTGGACTCCATAATGACAATGGGGAGTGGGTTACTGATGAGACGGGTAAGGCTGATATTGCTACTTCCTTCTATCAGAACCTGTTTGCCTCAGAAAGCCGTGTGGACAATATGTTGGAGCGAGTGGCTTCTTTGCCAATTGACCGGTGTGTCACCCAGGAGATGAATGCCGGCCTCACAGCCGAGGTACTACCTTTCGAGGTGCGGAAAACAGTATTTGCCATGGGCTCTAAGCAGGCTCCGGGGTCTGATGGCTTTACTGGGAAGTTCTTTAAGGCTTTCTGGGATATTGTGGGTGACTCAGTCACGGTGGCAGTTTCCTCTTTCTTTGCTACTGGTCGGATGCTTCGTAGTTTTAACCATACGTGGCTCACGTTGATTCCAAAAGTTGAGAATGTGGAAACTATGCGGCAGCTGCGCCCGATCAGCCTGTGCCAGTTCGTTTACAAAATTATTACTAAAATCATGGCAGAGCGTCTTGCCTGTATTCTGCCTAAGATAATCTCAGATGGTCAGAATGCCTTTATTCGGGAGCGTCAGATTGTTGAAAATGTTCTTCTGGGGCATGAATTAATGCATTATCTTAAGATCAAAACGCGAGGGAAGAAAGGGTACATGGCCCTAAAGGTTGACATGGAAAAGGCCTATGATAGAGTCGAGTGGCCCTTCCTCCTCGCGATTTTGGATAAGATGGGTTTCAATTCTACCTGGCAAGGGTGGATTCAAGAGTGCCTTCAATCCTCATCTTTTTCTGTGCTCATGAATGGTACTCCTTCGGGATTTTTCGCTCCGTCTAGGGGGCTTCGACAGGGTGATCCTCTTTCTCCGCTCTTATTTGTGCTTTGCACGGAAGGGTTCGCAGCCCTTCTTCGTAAAGCAATCATAGATAAAAAGCTGGAGGGGATCAAAGTGGCCCCTCGGGCACCTCGCATCTCTCATCTATTCTTTGCAGATGATTCTTATTTATTTTTGCGAGGTACGCTCCAGGAGTGTGAAAACTTGATTGAGATACTGAACGAGTATGAGGAATTGAGTGGGCAACGTGTGAACCTGGAAAAGTCGGCCGTTTGCTTTAGTAAGAATGTTGTCCATGAGGACCAGGAATTCTTGGCCGCGATTTTGGGGGTGGGGGCGGTTGGGGTCCATGACAAGTACCTGGGTTTGCCTACGCTGATTGCCCGCTCTAAGATGAATACATTCAGATATTTGGAGGAGAAATTGTTGGAACGTCTTCAGGGGTGGAAACGGAAGACCTTATCTTGGGCCGCTAGAGAAACGCTGATTAAATCCGTTGCTCTGGCATTACCATTGCACGTGATGTCTTGTTTCAAACTTCCTCTTTCCCTCTGTAGGCTGTTGGATAGGCATGTGGCCCGATTTTGGTGGGGTGATGATGGAGAACACTGTCGCATTCGCTGGGTATCTTGGCGTAATTTGTGCCGTAGCAAGCATGAGGGTGGTTTGGGATTTCGTCGATTCGAGCAGTTTAATCAGGCTCTGCTTGCTAAGATTGGGTGGCGTATCCTAATGGAGCCTCAGTCCCTTTTGGCTCAGGTTTACAAAGGGAAGTATTTCCCCACTGGGCATTTTCTTGAGGCTTCGGCTAGATCTAGACCCTCTTGGGGCTGGCAGAGTATTTTATATGGGAGGGAATTGCTGGTGAAGGGGTTGCGTTGGCAAATTGGTAATGGCCAGTCTACACCTTTACTGGGATCCAATTGGATTCCTCGTCTCCATGGTGAGCCTCCTTGTTATAATCCTCGTGTTCTGCCGGAGGGGGGGGAACCCTTGGTGGTAGAAGTCATTTGCGCAGGAGAGGGATGTTGGAATGATAGTAAGCTGGGCCAGTGGTTTGACCCAGCAACTTGTGAGGCTATTAAGGCTATACCCCTCCCGCGCCAGAATGTGGAGGATAAAATAATCTGGCATTTGTCTGTGGATGGGGTCTTCACGGTTAAGTCGGCTTACCATCTAGCTACGGACATTGACAGGAGACAAGGGGGGTGGCGCTCCACTGTGGGGTGGATGGATAAGCCATCCTGGATTCGTGTTTGGGGAGCTGATATCCCTCCAAAGCTTAAAGTTTTCCTCTGGCAGATCCTAAGTCGCAGTTTGCCTACTACGGAGGCCCTAATTGAAAAGAAGGTCCTGGTGCATCCTCGCTGTCCGGTGTGCTGGGCCAGCAAGGAAACTTTGGAGCATTTATTTTTGGAATGCCCAGTGGCTCGGGCCCTTTGGGATTACTCTGGGTTGGCCTACTTAGGGGAGGGGCTTCCTCGCCATACGTTTCCTTTGTTTCTGAAAAAGTTGATGGCTTTGATTCACCAGCCTCCTCTGTTTATGGCGATGGTCACTGTCCTCTGGCGGATTTGGCGGTCTCGGAACTGGGTGGTCTTTGAAGGAAAGCAGTTTGGGTTCCCGGCTTTGATGCGGCAGTTTCAGCAGCAGTTCGAGGAGTGGGTCCGGCTCCCGGTGGAGTCAGGCCCACGTAGACCTCTTAGTGAGTCGGGTCCCTCGGTGTCGCAGCATCTGGGTCTGGTTGGGGGAGATAGCGTCCGGTGTATGTGGGATGGGGCTGTTCGAAGGGGATCCCATTCGGCTGGTGGGATAGTTCTCTTTACCCCTTCAAGAGATGTCTGGCTGGTGAAAGGGGTTCATTTGCCTGGGATGGATGACCCACTTGTGGTGGAGTTGCTGGTCTTGCGTGAAGCTGTGGTATGGTGCCTGGCGCTCGGCCTTTCGGAGGTGCAATTTGAAGGAGATGCCAAGATTATTATTGACAAGATCAATCGCACTGATGCCAGAGATAATCGCGTCGGAGCTATTTTGGAAGAACTTCAACAATATTTTCATAGCTCGTCGGGGTTTAGTGTTCGATTTGTAGGTCGGAGTAGTAATAGGGTAGCCCATTCTGTGGCTCGTAAAGCCCTTTCTTTGTACCCGATTACAGATCGCTCTTTTGATTTCTTGGCCTGGCTTACTTCCAGGATGTAATTATCTTCTATTATTGAGTCTATATATGATTATCTTTTGGGAAAAAAAAAAAAGTAAAACAGAAATGATTGAACAATGAGACTAAAGTAATTATGCATAGTTAACGATTAAAATGTTGGTGGGGAATACGCAGTGGCGGATCCAGGGGTGGCCACCCTGGGCCACGGCCCAGTCCTCCTCTGGATTTGGAGCTAGTATAGTTTTTATGAATTTTTTGATTTAGGCATTTGGCTCAGTGTTATTTTATAATAAAATTGTGTGTAATTAGAAAAATGATTGAGATGAGCATATTCAAAACACTATTCTAAATTTAGTCTAGAAATTCTAGCCCCAAAGATTTTAAGTCGACGGATTTTCCTCTTACTATAAATTTCCTTGTTGTCTCATCTAAAAGAACAATAAAAACTAAAAGTCTAAAGCATAAAGGACTAAAAGAAATATAAGGTTCGTTCTCTTGAAAAATTACTAGAGCAGCTGGTGGATATATGGATGGACACACAATGCAAATTGATTTGTCGATTGATTTTTCTAATGTTGGCGCTGCCCGTTTCAACAGCTACTATGGAGAGAACTTTTTCAACAATGAAACATGTAAAAATGGTTTTGGGCAACAAAATGAGCGAATAATTTCTTGTCGATTGATTAACTATATTATTTGAAAGAGAGTATGTCATTGGTATGGATGTAGACTCCATTATTGATGCATTCGCTAAATTAAAAGACCTTCGTGTACAATTGACATTGTAAAAAAACTATGATTATTATATGTTTTTTACGATATATATATTTTCTAATGAAATGCGGCCCAATACTCTACGGTATTTAGATCCGCCACTTAGTGCAAAATTAGGTAGCCCATAACTCAAAAAAATTAGGTAGCAATTATTCAACTGA